AATATTTTGCACCTGAACAGATTTAGGGTTGTCACAGTAAAAGGAATGAATACTTATGCAATTGAGAATATTCAAAATTTCTTTGAAAATATATGTTGCATAATATCAGCATTTTTAGCTTTCTCAGTTTGGAGTAGATTGTGTAGATTCTAAGTATCATTTTCCATTTGAAAGTTTCATGATTGCAAGCTCAGATGGCAACAAAATGTGGAAACTTTGTATGTGGGTGAATACTTTAGCAAGGCACTGTATATCTATTATTAGGCTTAAGGATTCTATTGACTTATCAGTTTTATGTGTTTAATTTAAATCAAAATCACCTACTTGCTTATGCATATACAGATAATTGAATATGCTATATTAAAACGATTGTAAATATGCAAATCAGAAACTCACATGACAACCCAGCTAATATATAGGATACAGAGGTACACCATATATCAGAACTGCCAATTTCTGTGAGACATTTATAGTCAGGTTAGATTGACACACACATAAAGTAAGGCCACCATCTGAATTGAAGGGTCCATGCAAAGTCAGGCTCACTCCCATGCGTTTTGTGAAATGATGCTCCTGACATAGGTAGAGTGATGCTACCAAAAATTGATTGTTTTGGGGAAGCATGTAACAGCCATTTCTGACACGATATAATCATACACTCAAATCATAAAGTATGTTCAGATTAGGGATTTAGAATTTCCAAGATTAGAATATCCCTTTTATTTAATGGCATTGGAAAATAAAGGAATATAGACCAACTTAGGGAACAAGGACTTCAGAAAGTGACCTGCAATAAGTCGTACCCTAGCAATGATAAGCAAAGTGTGGCATCTTTTAACAAGTGAGAATCCATAAACACGAAGATCAATGACAAAAAACAACCTAAAAATCCATATGCCCCAGGCATAATTCAGAAGTATCTTCATATAGAAACGAGGCCAATAATGTATAGGTGCACTAAGATAAAGCTTCCAGTCATAACTCATTCAACACCACATATTTCAAACAGCTGGAGAATGAAACAAGTATTCGAAGTAAACCAAATGAAGAATAATGGTAAAGTTGTTGTATACAGTGCTTTCGAATTTATATAAGATTGAACTGTTGAAATGGGCAGTAGGTCATCACCGTCCTCACAAATGGATTATGAAAAGCCTGCAGGAAACAGTAGAGTGCTTTGGACATAAAAACCTTTTTGCTGTGGAAACTACGCTGCAAGGTTATTGTCAAAATACTCGGTCATAAATATCACATACACATCACCATTATAAGAGGCCATTGTAAAGATATGCGATCTTCAGATAGTATGGTGGTATGGACTTTAAGATGTGGTGATGTTCCAAAATCGTTTTAATATAACGTACTGTTGCGTCAGCGACGTCACGTGACTAGTGTCACGCCACGCACGAAGGAACAAGATAGTTCTAGAAATATATCTAGTAAATGCTAGGGCATTTGTTAGTCTGGTATATATATATAAGACGCTCACAACGTGACAACAATGTGTGTGTAGGTAAGTGAGTAATTGATCTGCAGTCAGAGAGTATTGTTGAAGTTCATTATAGTGTTTGTTTTAACGCGAATGTTGAAATCAAGTGTATCGTAAAGTTATATTCAGAAAGAATAAACCAGTTTTATTAAGTAAGGACTTGTGTCGCTAAAGTTTCGTCGGAACGAAGTTACGGAAAGTTGATTAACAAACAGAGACATAACAATATCGTAACATATCACAATGTATGGTAATTCTTACAGACAGTGAGTATATCCACCAAACATTTCGTTTTATTTCATTTTATTATATAAAACACATTATAAATCCTAGCTCTTCTATATAAATAATTTTATAAAAGGTTTATCAACAATATATTTTTATATCCTTGAACATCACGCACACATGAATACGAGGTACGATTATCATTTTTTCGATCCTTTTATTTTGTTTAGTTCCGTTTTATCTTCCCCCTTCAGGGGTAAGTCTGAGGGCTGATCACGCTAAAAATTGAGTTTCGATACCCGTTGTGAGCAGAATACAGATAGCCCATCGAAAAGCATTGCCTTAAGATAAACAAAAGCGTTTTATCCTTCTTTCAGCTGCTTTTCGTTATAATTTAGATTATTCCTTATTTAAAAAAAAACACGAAGAATCTGAGACATTTAAATTTAAGAAATTACATTAACTGAAGGGTAGTTTGAAATAGTTGGGAGGTCTATCTGTACACGGGTTACTGGAAATTTTGCTGCTCTGGAGGGCATAAACAATAGAATATTGTTATTCTTCCCGAGGAACTTCAGCGATACAAGTCCTTTCTTAAATAAAACTAGT